AGCGAGGCCACCAGGTGGTGCAGGTCGGGCATGCGCTAGTTTGCCGCTGCTCTGTGTCCTTATCACCTCACTCGCGCGTGAGCCCAAATGGCAAGCTTCGATCGGGATGCCTCGGGGAGGCGCACCTCAAGAAGGCACACGTGGCTGCTCTGGCCAAGGTGCTTCCGGGGTTCCACCCCAGAACGGGCGCGTCGTTCGTCTCCCCTCTCCACCCCGCTTCCTCGTCCCCTGTCCTCCTCAGTATCCTGCTCCGCCGCAGAAGGTGCAGGGTGAGTCCCCGCCGCTGATCACTAGGTAGCGGCGCGCGGGAAGCCACGCATGCTGCGCAATGTAGCGCCGCCCAGGCAGCCCGCTCGGGCCAGGCCTGCTTTCTCGCTCGACCGCCCCGATTCGGTTTCGGTGGCTTGGGTCAGCGTCGTCTCCAGTTTCTCTGGCGTTTTCGGTGTTTCGTTGACGACTCGATTTGGGCTCTGGCTCTTCCTGCTCCTCGTCTTTCTCCTCCTCCGATTCCTCCTCCATCCTCCCCCTCTCGGCGCACGACGTCTTACCCAGCCCATCATTCCTCTGCGTTCACCTCCACATCCCTGGTCAGGGCAACTCGTCTGGGCATCGTTTCTGGATGGGCTGAAGGGGGTTACGTACGCGAAGTGTCTGGATACCTGGCATCTTCCCGACTCTGGTGGAAACTCTTCCCGACTCGGATGGAAACGCACCCGACTCTAGACTCGGCCGGGATCGAATCCCCAGGCCTTGGCACGCGCACCTGCACACGCACGCGCACGTGCAGACGCACACGCACACGCGCACGCGCACGCACACGCACACGCACGCGCACACGCACACGCACACGCACACGCACACACGCACACGCACACGCACACACGCACACGCACACAAGCCAACACGGCCACACGCGCACACGCACACACACAAACACACACACACACAAACACACACACACACACACACACACACACGCCCACAGGCCCACACGCCCACACGCGCACACGCACACACGCACACACGCACACACGCACATCTACAAGACAGCCCCAGAGGTGCCCAAAACGGCCCGAACACAGCCCAAAGACGGGCCCACGAGGAGGAGCACGAACCGACAATCGTATCCTTCCGCCCTGATAATCCCCCAGGGTGCACCAAGGATGCTCCATGAGGCCCCGAAGAGGCCCGAACAGACCCCCAAGAGGCTCTCTAAGGCGCCCCAGCGGTGCCCAGACAAAAAATGTCCACACCCATGACGGGAAAGCGATGCAACATGATAACAACCACAAATGCGAGATGCCCTTGCGTCGCGCCCCTCCCCCCCAAACCCAAAGATGAAGTGTCCACATTTTGTCCCTGGCCTTTGGCCTGCCGCCTAAGCCCGTCAACGTTGAATTTAGGGGAAGGGGGGTATACATGTTGGTCCGACGTACTTGAATGACTCAAGGTCTTGGCGAGACGCGTGTGGACACTTATTTTAGTGCACCCACCGAAACTCCCCAACATGGTCCCCAAGAGATTTCAAAGCGGCCCCAAGAGGCTCCCGAAAGGGCTCCGGCGACATCCCCAGGGAAACACCCTAGAGGCCCATCACACACACAACCCAGGCACGGTGGCGGGACGGGCCATTAGAATAGCAGTGGCAATAGTAATAATGAGCAGAACAGTGCAAACAGTAGTAGTAGTAGTAGTAGTAGTAGTAGTAGTAGTAGTAGTAGTAGTAGTAGTAGTAGTAGTAGTAGTAGTAGTAGTAGTAGTAGTAGTAGTAGTAGTAGTAGTAGTAGTAGTAGTAGTAGTAGTAGTAGTAGTAGTAGTAGTAGTAGTAGTAGTAGTAGTAGTAGTAGTAGTAGTAGTAGTAGTAGTAGTAGTAGTAGTAGTAGTAGTAGTAGTAGTAGTAGTAGTAGTAGTAGTAGTAGTAGTAGTAGTAGTAGTAGTAGTAGTAGTAGTAGTAGTAGTAGTAGTAGTAGTAGTAGTAGTAGTAGTAATAGTAGTAGTAGTAGTAGTGGCAGTAGTAGTAGGAGTGATGGAAGTAATGGTAGTCGTCGTCTTCGTCGTCGTCGTGGTCGTCGTCTTCGTCGCCGTAGTCGTCCTAAACGTAGTCGCATCAAGGGTAGCTGCAGCAGTAGCAGTAGCAGTAGTAGCCGTAGTAGTCGTAGGCGTACTCGTACCAGTAGTAGTAGTAGTAGTAATAGTAGTAGTAGTAGTAGTAGTAGTAGTAGTAGTAGTAGTAGTAGTAGTAGTAGTAGTAGTAGTAGTAGTAGTAGTAGCCGTAGTAGTCGTAGCAGTAGTAGACGTATTAGAAGTAGTAGTAGTAGTAGTAGTAGCAGTAGTCGTCGTCGTCGTAGAAGTAGTATTAGTAGTAGTAGTGGTAGTAGTAGAAGCTTTAGTCGTAACAGTAGTAGTGGTAATAGGAGTGGTCGTAGTAGTAGTCGTAGTAGTAGTAGAAGTGAAAGTAATAGTAGTAGTCGTAGTAGTAGTAGTAGTAGTAGTAGTAGTA